CGCCAGCGCTCTAAGATTCATGCAAGGAGAGGCGTTACGCTATGGGTCGAATCCATCTATGAGTTGATCAGAGCCGTCTTGAAGACAAGGAAGGATCAGGGAAGCATCAGGCCTATTGCAGGCTTGAGCACTGAGAAAAATCCCTGAGATACGGTAAACGGCTGGCTAGAGCTTGAAGCGCGCCGCCAGACATCGCCCTCTGTGTCACAGTGATTGAGGCGTCTGTCTAACCGTGGCAAGATTGTAATCTCCGAGCTTGACTCTGTCAGAAGCCATCGAGGCCGAGGTGCGTGCATGGTTGCGCGTCGGCTGCTCTCGAGAAATCCTCTCAGATCCAACTGACGCCTGGAAATAGCTACAGAGATAACTCGCGCCGCTATTACGTGGAGACTGACATCCCTGACGAAGGCTCCGGTGGCTGTTTTATTTGCCAGCCGGGGATTTCTTTGACTCTGACGTAATGATAGCACTGATCAATGCTGTTGCGCGAAAAGCATCCGCCTGCGATGTCAATACAAAAGGATCATGAGTCTGCAAGATATGCTTGCTGGACTCAGTCAGCTTCTGAATTCTCCTATAGTCGTAATGGCTTGATTGATGGTCGTTGTTATCGTTCTCCGTCTCCGTGTATTTCTTAGACTTCATTCCTGTCCCAGTCCTGGTTCCTCGTGACTCACTCAGTGGACACGATGCTGCCTCTGCTTTTGAATGATCATTGGAAAGGAAAAGCATCACTGATATGATGAATGCAAGTTTTGGCCATCCTGAGTCCATGGACATAGTGAGCCTATGTCGGGAGGTTCAGGTCCCCCGGCAGGGGTGTTTGCAGTCCGCTGTGCGGCTCCCGGCGTCTGGTGCCCATGCAAACGGACCGTTCGGTAGCCGCCAAACCCCCATCCAATCTATGCTAACGGTGTTTCATCATCCGGCTCCGCGAAGCAAAGTGCTGCTTGTCATTCTGAAAGCTGAGGTCTGCCCAGAGCACTCACATGTCATCCGCAATTTCGTATTATGCACCCAGCATTTATTTAGGCCAGAACATATGGGCCGCGCGATTTGCGTCAAGACCTTTCAGAGAATCCGGAAGCATGTGTGGCATGAAGGGGAAGCACCTCCGTGACCCTGGTGGCGGGCGTGGCAGGCTGGAAAGACTGCTGATCGTGAGACCTGACCTCGATTCCTGAAAAACGCCTCTTTTCACTGTCACCAATCTACCACGTTAATCGGAGTTGCAGGCTTGAACGTTGTGGTCCAATGACGTCCGCAAATAGTAAACACTTGCTATTCTTAGCTTGGTTATCACTTAACCGGATACCGTTAGTCGTCTCCCGGACCGCTATACAACAGTCGCTTTCAACGTGCTAAAATTCTACTCCTGAACAGCGAATTGCCAGCAATGCAATACTCATGTATAATGCATAATAGCGGTCATGTTGGCTGCGGCGGCGGGCGCAACTTTTCTGAGCATGGGCTACGTCGGCCGTGAGATTCCCTGCCATTATCGAGGAATGGAGCTGCGCTTCACGCATCAGTCATAAACTGCGTCGCTAAGGAGAGATGGTAGTGACAACACACACGTGAGCCAAGCTATCCGTTTTTTAGGCAAATTGGACGTTGTATTGGGTTGAAATTAGACAGGATTGGTATTGACATTGGTATTACTAAACACGCTGTGAATCGTAAAGTATCGTTACTGTAGTCGTTCTTTCTAGATGCAGCGATCTAGTTGACATGCTAATATGCTAGTTAGAAAGCTAATTAACCTGGGAGAGGCAATAAGCTCACAATATCAGTAGTATTGCCGTTCTTCCCAAAAACAACGATTTAGTTGGTGAGAGAACTAATGTGCGTGAGAGAAGCGTCTCACTTTTGACTCTTCTTTTGTGAACAGCATTCCACGCACTAGTGCAGGGACAACCGTAAAACCGTCGGAAAACGTTGCAATCTTCACAGCGCAGGGAGCTCATCTGTTCACACCGCCTGTTAAATTGATAGGCCCGGCACATCCGGCCGGCGCCGGGGGCTGTGAAGACCGACACTGGCCCGGCCACAGCCGATGCCTCAATCCCAGCGCGGGTCGGCCGTCGTCGCTCGTCAGGTGGACTCAGGGGCGTTGTCTGGTCAGACATCACCCCGGATTCCGCTCCGGACTCCGCTCCGGACGGCGGCACTTGTCGGCGCCGACGGACGCGAACCACCTCGCGACGAGGCGCCGACGGACGCGAGCGACCTCGCGACGAGGCGCCGACGGACGCGAGCAACCTCGCGACGAAGCGCTGACGGGAGCGAACCTCGCGACGAGGCGCTGACGGACGAGAGCCACCCTCGCGACGAAGGCGCCGACGGACGCGAGCCACCTCGCGACGAAGCGCTGACGGGAGCGACCTCGCGACGAGGCGCTGACGGACGAGAGCCACCTCGCGACGAGGCGCCGACGGACGCGAGCCACCTCGCGACGAGGCGCCGACGGACGCGAGCAAACCTCGCGACGAGGCGCCGACGGGACGCGAGCGACCATCGCGACGAAGCGCTGACGAGGACGACCTCGCGACGAAGCGCTGACAGGGGAGCGACCACCTCGCGACGAAGCGCCGACGGGACGCGAGCGACCTCGCGACGAAGCGCTGCGGGAGCGACCCTCGCGACGAAGCGCCGACGGGACGCGAGCGACCTCGCGACGAAGCGCTGACGGGAGCGGCCCTCGCGACGAAGCGCCGACGGAACGCGAGAGACCTCGCGACGAAGCGCTGGCGGACGCCAGCGACCCTCGCGACGAAGCGCCGACAGCCTGAGATTATGGTACCACCCCCCCCCACAGGCCTTGTGTGCGGCTGATTTGACGCGCGCCGACGTGCCGCCTGCGCCGTGCGTTGTTCTGGCGCATTTTCCGACGGGGGGCCAGCCTCTCTGGCGGTGGGCCAGCCGGTGCTCTGCTGGCTAGAGACCCGCGACCCTCGGGACCAGCTGGCCGCGTGGCCAGAGTCGTAACTCCGCGAGAACTCTGGCAGAGCTGCTGCTGCACATTTCGCCTCAGTCGCATCTTCTCCGGGAAGCAATTATGCGAGATAAATTAAATGCGCTGATGATGTCAAACGAAGAGCTCGTGGTCTAAACTTATTGCCTTAAGATGTCACACACAGCTATTCTTATCAGATTGTCCCAAGTTATCGTAAAACTCAAAAGTTGTTACTGGACGCTGCTCGGGATTCTTCCCGTCCAACACAACATAATACAATTTCCAAGAAACAAAGCGACTGAGACAATCATCCTGAGAAATGCAATACGCTCTAAAGTGAGATGCAAACAAAGGTTCCGTAAGATTGGCAATATATCTGTGTATGGAGTGCTGACAACATACTACCTTCATCCAGCTTGCTTGCCGACCATACCCAGATATTGATGTATGGAGAAAAACGAAACCCCAACAAGCCACCAAAAGTGTGGCAAACCGAGCGTTGTGTTCTCCATGATAGAAGTTCCGCCCAAAGACCGTGATTCAGTCATGTGGACTTGACGTCATGGAAGCTACCGGCAGCTTAAACATTCGCCGATCTGTACGTACCAGACCGGCTGTGTCCCTGACTGGCTGCTGTGTAAGGTGTTGACATCTTGAACATTCGGTGAACCTTAGATTGCCAGTGCAACTTACATCCTACCAGACATATCTTCTGGCTTCCCTTCTCCGCGATGTCAAATAATTTTCTCTTCATGTACATGCGCAACAGGCGAGGTAAATATGCAGATATATATGTATATATGTAATATATATATCATATATACATATGTATAGATATATATATATCCGTGTGTGTATGTTTGTTTGTCTGTGTACCTAATAGGTATGCATCCCTACTAAAACACACACCTTCATCACGACGCATGCCTCTACACCTGCGGGAGGGACCGCCAGACCAGCAATAGGCCAAACCTACAAGGAAAACTCCCACGCTCTAACCCAGCTGAAAATACACTGATTCTTAAATCAGGCCCGAAGCAACGCCGTTTACAAGCTCTCACAGCCATCTTATCAGAGAAAGAACGCCTTACTTAACCAACAGCTCAGGCCATGCGTCACTTTGGACTTGTTTAAATCATCGAATGACAGCAGAGTGACTCGAACGTCTTCAACTTACCGTGGGTGTCAAACTGTCTGGAAAAAGTGAGGTGCTTGTGTCTATATGTATTTTGTAATTTGACCTGATGTTAGGATGCATATGTTTATATATATATATATATATATATATATATATATTACAAACATCATATATGATATATTACATATATCACATATCATATCATATATATTGAATATAGAATGCCACCTACTTTATGGCCAAAGAGGCGTGTCGCTTACCACCTCTCCGTGACAGACGGAATTCATCCCTGGCGCTCCCACTGTGATGGGTCAGGCCTATCTCTGAACCCCTCACCCATCACTCCCTCCGTTATGGGCCTGGCCCATCTCTGAACCCCTCACCTATCACTCCCTCCGTTATGGGCCTGGCCCATCTCTGAACCCCTCACCCACCACTTCCCCGTGATGGGCCTGGCCCATCTCTGAATCCTTCACCCATCACCGGTGGATCCGGATACGCCCACCGCACGCTCTCTGTGACCAGCGGGGCTCAGCCTTGACTTCCCCCCGTCGTGACCGGCGAAGTCCCTTTCTGAGCCCACTGTATGACCGACCGTCTCTGTGCTGGGCCCTTCTGTCCGTGACAGGTGCAGTCAGTCACTGACTTCCCTCTGCGTAATTGCCAAGGCTCGCTCCTGAAATCTCTGTGTGATCGATTGCCCCGGATCCTTACACAGCGGGTCCGTGACCCCCCCGCGTCTCTTGCACCGTGATCTCGCCGTGATCGCCAGGCGGCTCTGTCCCTGGCTCTTCACTGCGACCGGCGGGGGGGGGGGGCTCATCCCTGAACTCCCTCTGTCACCTGCTGGGTCTATCGTCTGTGTCCCCGACAGGTCAGCGTCTGAATCATCCCTCTGATTGGCAGGGTACGGCCACTCGACGCCGCGCACGGTCGGCGGCAAGGTCTTCACCATGTGCTACGCGCTGGTCGGCATCCCGCTGGGCCTGGTGATGTTCCAGAGCATCGGCGACCGCGTCAACCGCGCCAGCTCCATTGTCATCCGCTGCGTGAAGCGGCTGCTCAAGTGTCCCTCGCAGGAGGCGTCCGAACTGAACCTCATCTGCGCCGTGTTCACGCTCAGCGTGCTCGTGATCACGGGCGGCGCGGCCGCCTTCAGCCGCGAGGAGGGCTGGACCTACTTCGACTCGGTGTACTACTGCTTCATCACGCTCACCACCATCGGCTTCGGCGACATGGTGTCGCTGCAGCAGGACAACGCGCTCAACACGCGCCCCGACTATGTGGCGTTCGCGCTCGTGTTCATTCTGTTCGGGCTGGCGATCGTAGCCGCTAGCCTGAACCTGCTCGTGCTGCGCTTCGTCACCATGAACACGGAGGACGAGAAGCGAGACGAAGCCGAGGCACTGCAGGTGAGTCTGCTCCTCTCGGGCCGCGGGTGCCCCGCACGTGCGCGCCGCTGAGCCGGCGTCGTGGCCATGTTGGTCGGCGCGTCCGGCCGGCTCGGACATCGCGACGCGGTCCGTCCTTTGCCCGAATCTGGCCTCAATTTCCGCGGTCTGCTCGGGGGCAGGCCGCTCCGATTATCATGGAAATTTATTCGTGTGAGCGTCATGTGGCAGACAGCGAGGAGGCAGACGGGCGCCACTTAAAATCCACTGGGAGCTGCCCGTCGCGATCAAAGCCACCGGCATCGGCCAGAGGCCAGCCTCCACGCGTTCATGCCAGACCGCTTCCCAGGATTGGCAGACGCGAGGATCATGTCTGGCCCTTGGGGGACAGGTGCTGGCAATGGGGATGGCAGGCACACATCGTCGACTGGGCGAGGTCACTCGCCGCGGTCACCTGGCTAGCCAGACTGGGGGTTGCCAAGATCAGGTCTCGAGCCGCATACCAAAATGCTGTGTTTCGCGGAGGCCAAGCAGAATCTACTCATAAGGCTACCGGCAGGGGGCCACGCACAGATGTCGAAACGGTACACACTCTCGCCCTTACAGACTCGGCCCCACCTCAGAACCTACAGAGCAGGGTGGGGCAGGCCACTGTCCCTCCTCTCTGTTGCTTCGAGACAAAATAGACGGGAGGAAACAAAGCCAACCTTGTTAGATTTCTATGCGATTCTCAATAACTTTTACTTTAGTTGTTTTTTAGTATGACGTCAGAGTCAAGGTTATCTTGGATCATTTGACATTTTCTCACAATTTTTACACACTCAATCCAGAAGTCATCTCTGCTTTTACAATCTGTCAGCAACGGAGCGGTTCAATCAGCCTCAGTGTCGAGCCACCCATAATCACATCATGTTGGAGCTTTGTTGTTGTGAAGTCTAAACAACTCAACGGCTAAACAGCTAGAAGTCTAAACAGCAATAAGATGCACACATTGTGTGACTGCATAGAAAGCTTAATACTGAAGATGGAGCATCAGGGACACCTTAGGTCAGTGACCTGCCCTTCCATCCGACTGCAATCTGTAGATCAGATGGCGGTAACGTGAAAAACGGACAAACGCGTAGCTCACTATAGCACGTTACTAGCGAATATCATATTCAGTAACGTTTTAGTCCGACATACCCTAGCTAAACTTGTCTGGTCACTGACCTGGCTTAACCTTGGTTGGTTGTGAGGTATGGAAAGCAGCAGGAGCACACTGAAGGCCTTTCTTGGGATATTCTAACAAATACCACGGGGTCAATATCTTCCCCCTGTCTCTCTGCTCTTCACTCCGAGGGTTAAATAAACACGCAAGGAAAATGAATGAATGGCACCTGAACAGAAAACGCTTATTTGCTTATTGATGTTTTCTTAGGCTCACTGACCATGCTTCATGAGAGCACGGCAAGTTTCTTGTAGGCCCTCACTAACAGGACCACGCTACTGCTACATGCGCTTTGTGGTAATAGTAATGGGATTCGCACGTTATAAGACGTGCCCGTGAATGCAGGATACTTTGGAAATATACGGTCAAATGTCATACACGTAAAAAATTGGAGTGGTATGAACATCACGGTCTTCTCATTGGGCTACAGCCGTAAGAAATGACCAGAGGTCACCGCATACTACTACGTACCTCATCCATACCGATCGCTACTTGGCAATCCGTCCTGATTGCAAAGCACACCACACAAATCACCTAGGATGAGCAGATGTGCTGGGTCAGGGGCGAGCGGGCCCAAAGTACTTCATGTGGGACAGACGTAACACAAGATTGCCCGAAGGCATCCTTTCCTACATGAAGAAATGACACGTTTTTCACCTCTGATGGCCGACCAGAGGGCCCAGTGACCTGACTCGATTGTGACCGTGATTAAGCTTAGCTTGATTTTATATGCGACCCGACTTGTCATCTGCAAATCTCTTGTAATGTGCCTTGAGCCTATTGACATTGGGGGTTATCGCGTATCACG